GAGGGCGGGCAGCGAGGGTGGGCAGGGGAGGAGCAGCGAGCGGGAGGGCAGCCTGGGCACCCACTCTCGTTGCAGACACGGACTACGTGACAGCGCTGTGCTCTCAGGTGGTGTACGAGGGGCTAGTGGACGACACCTTCCGCATCAAGTGCGGTAAGTCGCCTGGGGAGGCAACAGGGCAGCACGGGGCTCCGCACCCACATAGGGAGAGCTCCAGGGTTTGTGCCTGGCATCGTCAGACCCAGGGCCTGCGTGTTGCAGCCGAAGCTGTTCCCTGCAGGGACAGTCCCGCTGTTGGGTGCTGTTGGAAGCTGTACATGAGGACAGCCCTTGGTCTGACCGAGCGGCTGGGCAGGCATCGCCTGTCTCTGCTGTGCAGCAGGGCTGACGTGTGCCGGGATGTCACTAGTGCTGGGGCAAAGCAGCTCTTCATCCTTCTCTGCAGGGAGCGTGGATTTTGGGCCAGACGTCACCTCTTCTGACAAGAGTATTAAGGTGCTGCTCAATGCCCAGGACAAAGTGAGTCCCACTCATGTGCCTCAGGAGGAGGCTGAGCGGGGGGTGGCCGGGTGCTGCTGGGCCGCGGAGCGCAGGTTGGGATGGGTTGGGACGCAAAGACCTGAGGAATGAGGTCTGCAGGCACAGCGAGGCTCCTGTAGTCGGCAGAGTCCCTGCGTGCAAGGGTGTGTCGTGCTAGCCAGTCGGAATTTTGGGGTGCTGACCTCCCTGGCGGGGATACCACCTTGTCTCGCTGCTCTTCAGGCTGCTGGCGAGCGTCGGCTCTGGGTGCTGCGGTGCTGGGGGCTGTGGCTGGCCGGGGAGTGGGGGGCCCGGCGCTGACTGCTGCGGTGCTCTCTGCAGGTCTTCAGCCAGATTCGGAATGAGCACTTCTCCAGTGTGTTTGGCTTCCTGAGCCAGAAGTCGCGTAACCTGCAGGCACAATATGACGTGAGTATCACCCCCGTGTGCATGGCGCCCGCGGTGCTGTCCCTCCGCAGACGGGTCATCTCCCCGGGTGCTCTTTCTTCCGCAGCGGCGCCGCAGCATGGACATCAAGCAGATGAAGAACTTTGTCTCTCAGGAACTGAAGGGACTAAAGCAAGAGCATCGCCTGCTGAGCCTGCGTAGGAGCCAGGGCTGGGATGGTGGGGAGGGGGAGGCCTTCGGCCGCTGCAGTGGGTGCCTGGGCCCCCGGGAAAAGCGGGGGGGTTGAAGGGCCCTGCTGGTCCCCAGGAGGGGCAGATGATCTGAGCAGTGGGCAGGGTAGCAGAGGCTGTTAGCTGGTGTGAGCGTCCTTAGTGGGGCTGGGGGGACAAACCACAGGCGGAGGCTGTTACTCCTCCAAAGCAGCCATCTCTCTTGGCTATGCAGATATTGGCGCCTGCGAGTCCATCATGAAAAAGAAAACCAAGCAGGACTTCCAGGAGATGATCAAGGCTGAACATTGTGAGTGCTGTTCCTATCTCTTGCTATCCCCGTCCCGGTCCTCGCTCCCCTGCCCTCCGCTTCGACCCGCTTGCCCCAGGCTGGGGCAGCCTCACAGCTGGGTGCCCCCCGCGTGACCACAGCCTTTCCAGACCCTTTCTGTTGGGGTGGGTCTTGACATCCTGAGTAGGGTCAAGCTGCACCCTCAGAGGGCCGGTGCGTGGTGGGGCAGGAGGCCCAGAATCGCAAGCCTGCCCTGTTCCCTGGGGCTCGGGGAGGCTGAGCCCAAACTCCGGCTTGGTGAGAGCCCTGGGGGTGGGCAAAGTGACACTGCTTCTTCCCTCACCACAGCTCTGCTGGAGGGCTTCGACATCCGTGAGAGCACCAGCTTCATAGAGGAGCACATTGACCGTCAGGTGAGACTGCGCCAAGCTGGAGGGACAGGCTGCTCCGGCCGCCCTGTCCCTCAGTGAGGACACAGGGGCTGCAGGCAGCTCACCGACAGCTCCCACCCAGGTGTCCCCCATCGAGAGCCTGCGCCTGATGTGCCTCCTGTCCATCACAGAGAACGGTGAGGTGCCTGGCTGCGCTGGGCAGGGAGCGGTGGCGCCGGGGCCCTCTGGCCTCGGCACAGAGCTCACCCTGGTGCTCCCCACAGGTCTCATCCCCAAAGACTACCGCTCCCTGAAAACCCAGTACCTGCAGGTGAGTGTGTCTGGGGGCTCACAGCAGAGCAAGCGTTGTGTCGGGCTGGGCTTCCCCTCCTTGCTGCTGCTTGCCATGGGGCGACGGGCAGCAGCGCTCCCCAGGGATGCTCGGAGGTCTGTCCCTGCAGGGCAGCCCCTGCCTCCATGGGCTCCGTACGAGCCCTGAGCTCTGCCTGCCCCTGCCCTTTGCCTGCGGGGTTGCTCTAAGCAGCCTGTACCTCCCCATGGAGGTGGTGCCCTGCCATCTTCCCATACTCACAGCCGTGGCTCTGCGCTGATCTGTCCGCCCTCTTCCCCAGAGCTACGGGCCTGAGCACTTGCTGACCTTCCACAACCTCAAACGCATCGGGCTGCTGACCGAGCAGTCGGCTGGAGAGACCCTGACTGCTGTGGAGAGCAAAGTCAGCAAGCTGGTGACGGACCGCGCTGCAGGTGAGAGCCAGCCCCCCCTGCCCCCTGAGCCCCCTGGGAGCCCAGGCTGTGGGGAGCCCTGGGGCAGAGCCCTGCTCCATCAGGAGCTGCTGCCTCAGAGCTGGCTGGAAACGTGTGGCAAACGCAGGTACAGAGCACGTCCCCAGAGGTGGTGCTGCTAACGGGGCAGCAGGCTCTGCCCACAGGGGCAGCAGGGCTGGCAGGCACCACTGCTGGTTCTCTTCTAGAGCCAGGAGCTCTGTGCATCCCTCTGCCTGGCCTGTGGCTGTGATTAATCTAGAGGCTCTGAGCCGTTTCTCTTTGTCTTGTGTTCTAGGAAAGATCACAGATGCGTTTAATTCTTTGGCCAGGAAGAGCAATTTTCGAGCCATAAGCAAGAAGCTGGGGTTGGTACGTCCTCATGGGGCTGCCACTCTGCCCCTGTGCCCGCTGGTGCCAGAAGAGCTCTGCTCAGCCTGTGCCCGGGTCTGCAGGCTCAGGACCCCAGAGACACATATTGCGTGGGGCCAGAAATGCTGCTGCTGCTCCAGGCAGCAGAGGGGCTTCTGCCCTGGACAGGGAGTCACTGTGGGCTTCCCAGTCTGCCCTGACCCTGGGCCCCACCAGCGTGGTGGAGGGCCAGGGCTCACCTCGCTCCCCACAAATGCTGTGGCCCCGCTCCAGGACCGGTGCTGGCTGCATGCAGCTGCCTGGCCCTGGGGGGCAGCTCTGTGGCCTCAGTCCTGGGGTGGTGGAGAAATGATGTTTATGACATGGGCCCTCCTATGTGCAGCCTGCCCCGGCCAGGTGTTGGCTGGCCTGAGCCCCAGGGCGGGGGGGCAGAGGCTTGCTCTGGGCGTCTGTCCCTCCTTGCCTGCCTGCACCTCCGAGGGGGTCGGTGAAGCCCCAAGCAGGCTGGTCCTGTACCCAGAGTGCCACGTGTCTCTGCAGATCCCCCGGGTGGATGGAGAGTATGACTTGAAAATGCCTCGGGACATGGCTTATGTTTTCAGCGGAGCCTACATCCCCCTGAGCTGCAAGATCATTGAGCAGGTGAGCCCGCCTGCCGCTGGGGAGCACCGCGCGCGTCCTCCCAAACCCGGCTTCCTTCCAGGGGGTCCGGCGGGGGTCTCTCCACCCAGGGCTGGCAGTTTGTCTGCTGGTTGGTCTGCTGGTTTGTCTGTTGCCTGGCCCCACGGGGGCTGAGCCTGAGCCCTGCCCTGTCCCTCAGGTGCTGGAGCGCCGGGGCTGGCTGGGCCTGGGGGGGG